TAGCCTCCCCAAAAGGAAGTGGCTAATTTTCACATATCCCAATCCCCCAAATGTGATCGGCAGCACCTAAACCTCCACGGTGTGGACAGAGGCCTGTCTTGAACCTCAGGAACTCACTGCCCACCGGGCTCCCGCTCTCAAGGATGACCACAGTGACCATAATAGCACGCCATTGATTCTCACGGGGAGGTCCTCATTCCACGGCACTCAGGCAGAAGGCCTGGCAGTGACCAACGGTATTCCGTCTAACAGAAACGGAAAGAACCAAAATGTAAAAGCCCCTGGGCTTGAATGAAGAAAGAATTTAATGAAGACCCAGGAATTCCGATTTCCGAAAATGGACAGATACAGCCTGGTAACTGCCCTTTATCCTACTCCTGGGTACTTTCCCAGGTTTGGGCCAGGCCACCCTGGCCTGGCTCGGTGGGGAAAGTGAGCCTGGCCTCCTGGCCTTTGCTTCTCATAGGGTCTAGTGACCTGAGGAAATCTGCACCATGGGAAATGACCCCCAGACTCGCCTGCTTGGCTCTCCAAAAAAACCTTGTTGAAGGCTCTGGCCTCACATGCCAAAGTGCAGTGGCTGCATGGGACAATCTTCTGTATAATTCAAAAACCCACATACCGGTACTTCAAGAGTGCCTGTTCTCTTATATTTTGATGATTTTTCCTATGATCTCCTGAAGCCTCTATTTTTCCAGCGAAGATTTGGTGCTTCCTGACCTAATGGGAGGTGGTGGGGATAGTGAGAGGTGCCTTCAGGCATCCCTGCCCCCATATCGTGTCACTCATCATGTCACTCGGGTGGATGGCACTGCAGGCTCTTCCATTAGAAACTGCTGTGGGTGAGGCCTTTTACTCGACCCATGAAAACGTACTTTGGGCTGAATGCAGAGATTAAATAAAATTGGGTTCTTAACCCAAAAAAAAAATCATCTTGGTACTGTGAGCTATATATACTCCAAAAAAAGTGAGGCACTGAGCGTGCGGCCCTTATCTCCACCTAACGAAGGGCTTTATTTGTTTGAAAAATGAGGGGAGGGGTGTAAGAAAAGACTGGGCTCAGCTCCTCCAGGGGACCAGCCACTGACCCTCTCTGCCTGCCCTGCCTGATCCTGGGAGCCCTCCATTCAATGACTGCAGGGGAGCAACCGGGGGTCCCAAGCCCAGCCTGTGTGGCTTCCCAGCCACAGAGCTTGGGGGTCCCGCTTGCCCTACATGTGTCAGCAGAGGAATCTGTTGGGACTCCCTGCTACTGGGAATCCAGGTGGCCAGGTCATGGGGAAGGAAGTCAGCCTCTAGGCCAGAGGGTGAAGAAGCCAGGTATCCCCTTCCTTCCTCTACCTTCAAGGGTTTGTGAGTGCCTGCACCTTGGTACTCACACTCGGCTGGCTGTTCAGTTTAAACTCCACCAGGCCCTCCTGCCACAGAAGCCATATGATCCCTCTTTTCTGGGTGCTCAGTTAGATGGTCAACAAGCAGCTCTTGAGTGACTGCTGTGTCCGGGCCCCAGCCAGGCCCTGGGGCGGCTCTGACCTCCAGATGAAGGCCACAGGCCAAAATATGGGACCACACGAATAAGGCGATTTCCCAGAGAAGGGGACACAGTGGAGGGGTGCCCTCACTGTGACGTAGTGTCGTCCCTCTCAGACGAGGGGACACATGAATTGAGGCATAAAGGAGGCAGCTGGTTTGGTTTTTCCTCTGGACCCAGGAGCAGGGCTCGCTATGGCCAGTGATCAATGGGTCCTGCCCTGGAGAAGGGGTCTGGACTTTGATAAGAATTCCCAGGATGAATAGCAGCTCTCACACTTCCGGGAGGGCAACAACGCTGGGTATCTAAACCAGTGACAAAAACA